TCCAATGAGGATTAAAAAATTACAATAAAATAAAAAGCTAAAGTCAATGAGGAAAATAAGTTTTGGAGGCCCTAGGTCTCTTCACATTCAAATTTTTAAGACTTACTCCAAGATCAGAAGATATAAATTAGAAGAGATATTTATAAATGTATAATCTCCTTTCCTTTCCAATGGGATAATACCATGAAAAATTTCAGATGTGTTAGAAGATAAACCTAAATATTTGTGTTATCACTCATTTTTTATTTCTCTCAAACCCAAAATTAAAGCACATTTAGATAAATACACAGGATTCTTAAAGTGTTTGAAAATTTACAATTCTGTTGCAAGCAACACAACAAAATCCTAGAACAAACTGGCTTAAAACGGCAAAGGAAGTTTTCTAAGAAACATACCTGAAAAGACTCTAGCTTCAGGTCAGTTTGATCCAAGACTCATCTCACCGGGTCTCATCTCAGCTTTGCCTTCCCTGGGTTTGCTTGACATACAGTCTGGCTTCACACTCTTGGTAATGAAGTCTCAGGCCTGACATCTATGCACGTCCAAACTCTGGATAGAAAGAACAGGATTCCCAGCCAGCATCTTTTTATGAGAAGTTTGTGTCCCAGAAGCCCAAGCAAACAACTGTTTGCTTGTTATTGGCTCAGCTGGGTGATGTTCCCATCCCACTCATCACACTGGCTCCCCCCACTTCCTAACTGGTTTCTCCTGGGAGCACTACTTTAATAAATAATTTGCACCTAAATCTTTGGCTAAGCAGCTGCTTGTAGACTCTTCTTTAAGACACAAAGAAATGCAATCAAACCTCCTGGCAGGTTATCATCGAAAGCCTTGAGCTGTTCCTTCCCACTTTCACATCTCTGCAAATGCTGGCATTTCACTCTGTGACCAAGACACTTACCTTTTCTTGTACATCCTTTCCCAGGTCTGTGCTGCTTCTCTTCAAACAAGCCTCCTATTTCCTCAGCAACTCTCAAATCTCATCCATGTGCCCCCTGAAAACATCATTCGACAATAAACTGCTCCTTACCCATAACCTGCTGAGATTCCTGCCACCTGTCAGCCTCAACTGAAACATGATTCAGCCCCATGCACCATTTCCCCTTTTCCCTTTTCTTAAGAAAGGGTGACTCGTTTTCATATATCCTCTCACACTGGAATCTGGAAATAAAGCTGGCAATGTCCTTTTACATCATTTCTGTATCGCTAGGGCTTCTAGATCTCACTATGAGAACCTGAATTCCTTCTGAAGTGCCTTGTCTCTACACAGGAGGGAACCAAGGGAATGTCAGCTGTATTTAAGATAGATGGGGCATATAGGTTTGGGATATAGTATTCTTTACTATGTTTTTTAATGACTGCCTTGTGGCTTGGGTTATCTGTCTTGTCTTTCCTATGCTCCTCACTCAATTATCTACCAAATCCTAACCACATCCCATAGATTGTTAAAACTAGCACCAAAAACTCAGTCTCCCACTCCATCCCCACTGTTCAGTGACTTTGATGCCCATGTGATGACAAACCCAAAACTTGAGGAAAAACATCAAGAACTAAAAACAAAACAAAACAAAACAAAACCCCAAAAAACAAACAAACACACCTCTCATATATATAACAAATAGACACAGACAAAAGTGTGGTGTTAGCCCGAGGGAAAAGGGGGAGGGTAGGCGGAGGTGGACAAAGAGGGCATAAATGGGGATGGAAAGAGACTTTGCTTGGGGTAATGGGCGCACGATGCAGTGTGCAGATGATGTTTTGTTAAGTTGTGTGCTTGAAACCTGTATGGTTTTGTAAACCAATGTCGACCCAATAAATTCAATAAAAAAAAGAACTCCAAAACTAGTCACTTCCTCACTCAATCTATCACCTCATAGATGAATTCCTGCTCTTATCATCTAGAACTGTTCCACCCCTGAAATTTCAAACTCAGAATATCTTACCCCTTAAATGTTATCATTACAAGAAAAAAAAGTATAACTATGTATGACAAATGTTCATTTTGCAGTATATACAAACTTCAAGTTAGTGTGTTATGCACCTGCAACTAACATGATGTTATATGTCAATTTATACTTTATCAAACTTTTTAAATTATAAAAATGAGATCATATCATTAAAAACAAGAGTATCCTACCCTGACACAACTCTTTATCATTCTAACAATCACATCCTTTCCCTCCTCCCACTGAACTAACGATCTTAAGAATTCTAAGCCCTGACTCCACCAATTGCTCTCATTTTCACTTAAGCTATTATATACTTCCTAGGTCTTTTTACAAAAACTACTTAACATCTTGAGCTTATTTTGAAAAAAGACTAAAACAACAGATTTCTTTTCCTTGTTGTCACATTAATCTTGATAACTACAGAGCTGCTAGCTTAGCTTACATGTAATTAGATTAGTAATATAATTTGCCAGTTTGTAAATCTCTAAGAACAATGTTTAGCTATTGATGTGGTTACATTAGAAGAAATTTATATTTTCACAGTGAGGTTGGTCATGAGGACAGGAAAGAACAGGTAGAGCATACTTAGATTTCAATAGACTTTGGGTTTTCTCTTTCCCAAAAAGATAAAACTGTGGTAGAAAGGCCCACTTTTCCCAATCAGAACTTAATGTAACCCAAGATGAAATGCATGGTAAACCAACATCCCTAAAGTATTTATTAATATTTAGTAAATAATTAGTATTTATTATTTAAAATTCTATGAGGAAATTAAAAAGAAGTTCTTTTAATTAAGAACATTAAGTGCATATCCTCTTAAAAAGAATGGAAGAAGAAAAGCTTCCCATACCCCCTCCCTGCCTCACTTACTCTCTACCATGTGCATTTGGAGTTGGAGATCAAACAACACTTGAGTCACTGAAGCAAGTAGGCTCCTGTTTATATCATCTGGACAGTTCTTTCCCTAAGAAGGCTAGGAGTTTTTGTAATGGCTACACAATTCTGAGGTCAAAGAGAGAAGGCTGGTCTCATTTCCATAATCAGCCTTCCTAAACAATACAACATGTCTACAGTTTGAAACCAATTTCAGAAAGAATTAGCCATTGCTTGTTAAAGTGGAAGTATGCTTTCTGAGGCTGGAAAACTAGTCCAAGTTCACAATGACTTTCCAGGGACCAAAGATTTGCATTACTGAGTGTGGACCCACTTAGGGAAACAGAGAAAGGCTGGAGGGAAGTATTGCCAGAAGGTTAATCTTCAAGCAATTCCCAGGAGCATTCCTGTGTTCAAAAGGAAACAAATGGGAATTCTCAGAACCACCTGGGGAGAGCAAGAAGCTCTCAGCCACTCCTTGAAATGATTCTGTAGAAGCTGTGGGTCTGTCCCCTTCCTTCAACTGTACCACAAGCCCTAGTCAAAGGCATGCAGCAAAGAGATTATTCCCCTGTGCACTGTACAGTCCCTCCACGTGCATCTTCAGAGGCACAGATTTCAGATGCTTAATTCTTATCTATTCCTTCAGCCAAGCTTTCATATTTTCCCACCATGCTCCTGTTCTAGTAAAATGTGTAATATGTAACATGCTCTGCATATACCATATGTCAGGACACAGCTGTCCTTGACAGATACTGATTTTAAATTGGTTAGGGAACAGGAGTATGTCCCCTGATGGTCATCCTTCTAACTTGCAGAGGTTAAGTATAAGAAATTAGATAAGGCCCTGACTGGTTTGGCTCAGTGGATAGAATGTCAGTCTGCAGACTGAAGGGTCCCAGGTTCGATTCCGGTCAAGGGCATGTACCTTGGTTGCAGGCACATCCCCAGTAGGGGGTGTGCAGGAGGCAGCTGATGGATGTTTCTCTCTCCTCAATGTTTCTAACTCTCTATCCCTCTCCCTTCCTCTCTGTAAAAAATCAATAAAATATATTTTTAAAAAAGAAATTAGATAAGAACAGGTACAGAGGAACACGTAGTTTTCAATTTTAAAAAATATTTCCAACTCAGTTTAGGGAAGAAGATGGGGGTTGACGTATTTTATTAACCAAAGGTAAACAGTAAAAGAAGAAATAAGGTGATGCTAAGTAGGCAGAATTAAAAAATATGATTATAATAAACTCATCAATTATACATCATGTTCTCTCTTTAGGAAAATCTATGGGGGGGTGGGGTGACAGAGATTTTCCCTTCTCAGAAATCCCTCTCTCTTCTCTAGATTGCAGGGCTAATGGAGTATAAACCATAGAAAAGAAAAATTCAATTAGAACATCTATAGAGCAAGTCTTAAAAAGATGAGGAGTTGCACTGGCCAGTGTGTCTCAGTTGGTTGGAACATTGTCCCATACACCAGAAGGTTGGGGGTTTGATTCCAGGTTAGGGCCCATACCCAGGTTGTGGGTTTGATCTCCAGTCAGGGCTCATGCAGGAGGCAGCTGATCGATGTTTCTCTTTCACATTGATGTTTCTCTCTGTCTGTCTCTATCTGTCTCTCTTCCCCTTCCTCTCTCTAAAATCAATAATAATAAAAAAATAAACTGGGTTCATTTATCACACACACACACACACACACACACACACACACACACACACA